TTTTATCCTACCTTATACAGTCCAAATTTTTATAGTTAAGAATGATAAATCTTATTGGACGTTAACTGGGAGTATATTTCCTTTAAGACGATGCTTGTACTACAAACAAAATGGGGTTTGGGCTTCCTGTGGTTAGCATCACCCATAGCAACGAGGCATCAGTTCATCTGTCTATCATACCTCATACGAGTACAAAATCTTATATTTAGAATGATAAATCTTATCAAACGTTGACTGGGAGTTTATTTCCTTGAAATGATGCTCGTAGGATTATTGAAAAAGAGTAAAAGAAGAGTGGAATGAAAAGTTTGGAATGGTATTCCCAAGAGGCTCGTGATTGGCTAATATATGGCGGGTTCTAAAGAATTATAAATCGGCGCGCCAAACCGAGTCTCATTCATTTGCAAGGYGAGAGGCACCGAGTTAACAAGGTTAACTATCTCGCTCCAAAAAAATATTTTAAAAAGATTTTTGAGCGTGATAAAACTTTCCTGGGTAGTTAACCTTGCTCGGTGTCTTTCATTGGAGTCGAGGAGAATAAATGGCCAGTCGTAGGTGAGTTATTTTAGCGAAAGCAGGACATTTTTTGGGGGTCGCTGTAAAGGAATCTTTCGAGGCATCCTCCATGCTTCTTCGGTTGAGGCTGATAAAGTCGGGATAACTTATGCCTTATCCTCAAATTGTGGGTGCAAAGCCTTTGATATAAGTCTTCTGTTATTATTCTTTCACTCTAGTCAGAAAATATTGAGTCATCGTCGAAGCATCGAAGAAAATATCCCGAAGAAAAAGAGAAAGGTACCAATGGCTCTCACACTTTCTTATACTTCTGCAACCTCAAATTTCTTCATAACTTTGACTGTTTTCTCTTGATTTTTTAGACCAAAGATACTTCTATCTCTAAAACGACTTCTAAACGACCAAGGACGACTTCTAGAAGCAAGGTAAATCAGTTTTTTTGGACTTCTTTGTCTGCTCTGATTTCGCGCCAATGTGAACTCCCGCCATTTTGAAGTATGCTGACCTGCTGTTCAATCGATCCAARATTTTCCTTTTGTTCCTTTGGAAATATTGCTCAAATATTTCTACTCAGGTATTCATAAGGTATATTTCTTTATATTTCTACATTCTATTTCTATATATCACGCTTCAAAGGTGGTTAAAAATTGATTTTCCCAATGAATAATTTGATTCATATATGTTGACACAAGACAAAACCATTTCGAATTTAAGCTTCTTCACAAACAATCACATACATACTCAAATACTTCAAAATAACATATTTTACATTAAAGAAATATAAAATTTCATCCGACTGTCGAAAATATTTCACTATTATGTTTTTGAATGTTTTATAAAATTAAAAAACATATTCGAAGTAATATTATTAATTTTATAAGGAGGCCCAGCCCTTAGCAATCCACTGCTCCTATGGAATTTAAGATTATTTTAGATCATTTAAGTGCATAATACAGACTTATTCATAGAATTAAATAAAGATTAGCAAATACTCTATATCTTTATATATATCTACAATATCTTTATTTAAGTTCAAATAACACAATTTCATTGTGTTTTATCATTAATATTCTTATATTTTTACAGGAAGGACAAATCAGCTTTCTTGCTAATTTATAATTTTAAAATCTTGGAAAAATAAATTCATTCTCATGTAGTGCTAGGCTATAATATATTTATTTCAAAATTATAAATGAAAATATTACATAATAGATGCAAATTCATAATAATTTGTAGGTAGATATTTAAAAGCAAATATTTACAGAACATGCAACCTTAAATTCTTAATCAGTCTTCTGGAGATTTGAAAGGATTAATATGAAGATAGCCTGTTCCATGTCTAAGAATATTCATTTACATTTTTTTTTTTCTTTTTCATCTGTGATTTTTCTTTATAAAATGTTTCAGAAATGTGTTTACATTCAATGTATGACATCTGACTCTGAAATGGTTTCCAATATTGTTCAGCTCTAAACATTTCAAAGAGGCTAAAAATATAAATTGTCCAATCAAAAGGCTTCACTTTTGAAACAGTAGAACAATAGGAGCACTGTGTGATTAAGCTTGACGTCATTATTTGCCAACAGTAGTGACAAAAACAACAAAAAAATGTTTAAAATTTCTTTTGGAATTATGGAAAAAAAAATTTATTGGGGGGGGGGGGGATGATTTCATTGCCCTAAATACACTAGTTACTCTGACAAAAACATCTAAAAATTTTTTTAGCCTTTTTATTATACAATCTTGCTCGACAATCAACTTTAAGCAACCTTGTTCAGTACCCTCTGCTCAGATGATACCTACCAGGACACAAATTTAACTTTTAAACCCACTAGCAAAGCCTTGTAGTGCACTTGWAGTGGGTCTTTTCTGGATGTTCTTCCTCCAACTTATTTGTAAGAGCTAGAGTTAAGTGGAAGCCATCCTTGTTTTAATGAGGGTAGCACCTAATAGCCAGTGGCTAAGAAACTTGTGGCACTCGTTCCATGAATTGGAATTTAGGAACTGATTTTTGTGGAGGGAGGCAAACCCAAAGAAAAACCCTCAAAGCACAGGAGAGAACCAAACAAACTCTACTTGCACACAACACAGAGTCTGGTGGGACTATAACCTGGGATGCATTGATAAGAAGAAGCACTCTCATGGCTATGCCACCAATTCTTCCCAAAGCAGAAAAGCAGCCATTTCTATAGAGACATTATGAAATCTGTGTAACTGAGGGAGACACTGGCTTTTATTAAATAATTAACAAATTGATTTTAATACTGTGTTATATTTCAGAGTAATATCACAATGACAGAAACTCTCTGCAACACAGTAGGAAGTATAAGCTCCTTCAGCAAGATTGAAAAAGGGATTTCAAGCACTGATAGGATACTAAAGGATAGAACACTTGCTACGAATGTGCAAAGTACGATACACAAGACTGATAAACATACCTCTAGTTATACATTTTCTAATTTCTTTGTGCCTGTGGTACGAAAGCTTACTCCGCTGCCTGAGCTGAATTGGGCAGATTCAACTGAACTTTGGAATTACATGTTAGAAAAGTACAAAAAGTATGCAAAAGATCCATTGTACTTAAGGATGCATAAACAACTACAACCAAGAATGAGAAGTATATTACTAGACTGGTTAATAGAGGTAGGTCTAATTATGTCTCTTTAAAAAAAGCCTTTTGAAATTTTTATGAATCCCTAAAGACACTTCTGGGCTCATTGAGGTTGGGGTATAGCTAAATCACAGATTTAACCCAGAAAGGATCTCTAGGCTGATCTAATAGGCATTTTGCAATAGATTGACATGTGATTGTTACGTGATTGGCAAAGAAATTTGAACTTTATTTAATTTTTTTGCTGGATTCCGAATAATGTATCTAAAACTTCTTCAAAAATACTTCCTCAGGGGACCTTGAATTGATTTGTTATCAAAGTCATATAATATCAGCATTCGCCTGTTTGTTGACCTATTAAGTCAGGGCATGGCTAACTCTCAGATCAAACCCTGACACAACCTCTCAGCTGATCAACGTCAGGACAATGATTACTCTTAGATCTAACCCTGAAAAATCTTCTAGGCTGATGCAATTCAGGGTAACTAGCTCATGGATTTAACACTGAAAAATCTCTAGGCTGTTACAAGTGGCATTGATAGCTAACTGACAGATCAAAGGTCAAATCCTGAAATATTCCCCGAGCTCAGATCTAGGTCAGAGCTTTTATGTGTATATAAGATAAGCTTATATAATGTTTTTATTGCCAACAGGTATGTGAGGTGTATAGACTACACCGAGAGACCTTTTCTTTAGCTGTAGACTTCATTGATAGATATCTTTCGACAAAACAAGATATTCCAAAGCAAAGACTGCAGTTAATAGGAACAACAGCTCTTTTTATTGCTTCTAAGATAGAGGTATGCCATTGTACTATTAAGGGTTAGTGGATTTTAGTAAAAATACACAGGTGATTATTGAAAATCTCGCGTTCTGATTGGTCGAGAAACTCACACTATCACATGATAATCACCTCTAGCAATAATCCAAAATGGCGAGTAGCCACTTCATTGCTGTTACCGGAAAAAAATGTTCTTTATCTTCTTTTTTTTCTTTTTTTGAAAGAATCACCTGTGTATTTGTAYTAAAACAATTATTTGCCTCAGCCTCGGTGAATATCGGAGAATATTTACCTCGCCGCTCGAAGACTCGCGTCCTTATAAACCTGAACATTTTTGTGCCCCCAGAATTTGAGAACATCAATTCAGTGTTCTTTCAATTGATATTTCAAGTTGGTAGTTTTTGTGTTTCCACTGGGTAAATTGGGCAGCCTTAATGACCTTTAGATTTTGTCCTGAAGCAACATCTGGATTGATCAAACTTAGGGCACAAGAGACTAGTGCRCTTTTTGTATGTCACCCTTGATTCTGCAAGGCATGAGAATTTATTTAATATTTAGAAAATGAAGAGGTATAAATAGTTGAAATATATGAAATAAAATTATTAATGGAAACCATATGAAATAAGAGCTCAGAAAAAATGTAAGCTTCAATTTATTTATATTGATTATATATATATCTATTATTAATTTATTATTAATATTTATAATTAATTAATATTTATTATTAGATATATATTTGTTATATATATTTATTATATATATTTATTATTAATTTATTGTCTGTAATCAACCCTTGATTTGATTGATAGGAAATCTACCCACCTAAGTTGTCGGAGTTTGCATACGTCACGGATGGTGCATGTACAGAGTCTGAAATCCTTCAACAGGAGCTTATCATGCTGAAACAGCTCAACTGGAATCTTTGTCCTGTGACTTGTAACACTTGGCTTAACATCTACCTTCAACTTTACTGGTTAAACACAATGATGAAGAGTGATCCGAAGATGATTTCTTGCAATTATAATTTTGTTTATCCAGAATACTCTCAGCAGGACTTTCTGAGAGTTGCACAGGTTAGACGCCACCAACAGTCTCACATATTATTATATGTTTTACTCACTATCTCGCTTCTCATGGGCTGATAGCTTACAGACAATCCATAGTATTGTGTGAGCTCCACATGATCAATGTAATATTTCTAGGTTTTCCTGCATCTATTACATTATCATTCAAGGTCACAATAGAGGTCCACATTCCCCCATTTATTTTGATTTCTTTCTATTCTTTGTAGCTTTAGCTTTAAATACCCATAATAAGGAGCACCAATAGTCTGAGGGGGTAAAGATTACCCATTTGAGTGTTTTATATATGAGCCCCTAGGTCGAGAAACATTGGACACTTAAACCGTTTCAAAATCAAATGTTTTTTTTTTTACCCATTTTTACCCATCACACATATTTCATTTTTGATTTGTCGTTCTTCATCTTAGCAGGAAGTTCAGACATTTTTCTGAAATTTTGCAGTACTCAACAATATATTAATGTTAATTTTTTTCCTTCAGTTATTAGACTTATGCTGCTTAGATATTGGCAGCCTTCAATTCTCATACAGTATTATTGCATCATCTGCTCTGTACCATATGATTCCTGTTAACATTGAAGAAATCACAGGTACCATAAGTAATGTTTTAGAATGAGATACCTATTTTGTTCTACTTCATAGTAACATCAAGTTTGAAGTATCTATTGCTTAGTTGATAAAGACAGAATGGTTGACTTATATATAATAGCATTTTCCACGTTTATTTATAGTAGATAAAGCATTAACTTTTGTGGGATTGATTGGTAGACAAACTTTGTAAACAAAGGCTTCAGGTCAAAGGAAAACAAGATTAAGTTTTTCCACACATTGAAAACATTGTTGCAACATAATATTAGCATATGCACTTACCTTGACTTGTCCACATTTTAATCCCAAGATACACAGTGTGACGTCATTCGTGGAAAACACTATTTTGATGATGATGGTCACCCTCTTTAAATAAAGTTTATTGATTGATTGATGATGATGTTGGTAGTGATGATAGTGATGATGAAGATGGTAGTGATARTGATGGCACAGATGATCATTGTAGTGGTGGCAAGGATTATTGTGATGATGGTGGCGAGTAGTGATGTTGATGGTGATGTGATGGTAATGATGATGATGTCAGTGATAATGGCAATGATGACTAAATATTCTTAACACTGTACCTACATACAACTCAACTCACATGTTGGTTTTTACTTAACCACCACTTGAATTTCACCACCGCTTCAAAATAATTCAGTATTCTATATATACATTTTTCACTGACACTTTGATATTTGCTTCATCTCAGGTCACAAGTGGGAAGAACTATTTCCCTGTATTCAATGGATGAGTTCATTCTCAGCAGTCATCAGAGACATGGGGAACCCAGTGCTCAAGACCTTCGAACATGTAAGAAAACTGATGAGAGATCAGAACTTTAATATATTCAACTTAGAATTATCTTTGAGCACTAAGCCAAGGGTCATTTATTTTGTTCTTAACCCTTTGAAGCTTGGAGATAAATGTTCTCAATTTTTCTACCATTATCGATGAAGTGCAACCCACGAAGCTTAATGTCTCGTTCGCTGACTAGCATTTCAAACGTCAGCCAAAGAACTGAAATAAAATAATAATATTTTGAGGGAGATTTTGGACTGGATTAAAGATTTTGAACTGGATCAAAAATGTAATATAAAATATGACTTATCAGACTTAGTGCTCAATGTCATCCTAGATCACAGTTGCATTGTGTCAAGGACTTTGTCAAATATTAACAGGCTGTTATTCTGTACCAGGTTAAATCTGAAGATTCCCACAATATACAGACACACATTAATAACTTAACATTACTGGTATGTATCTAGCTTGATGACTGAGCTCCTCTCACAAATATGCATAATTTTAAGTTTGATGGTTTTTTGTTGTTGTTTGTTATGTAAATTGCCAACCAGAAATCTATTGGACAATCCAATAAAGCAGAGTGACAAAACCAATTGTTTAAAAGGTTGGAACAATAATATTACAATGGCAACATCAATGGTAGTACTGATCACTATGGTAATAAAACGGTTGCCACGGTGATGTGAGTGGTCTCTTGGTGATAGAAATGTTTCCACAGTAAATTCAGTGGTCACCATGGGGATGCCAGTGTTCACCATGATAATTTTATGTTAGTGGTCACCATGGTGATGTTATTGGTTACCATGGTGATGTTATTGGTTACCATGCTGATGTTATTGGTTACCATGCTGATGTTAATGGTCACCATGGTGATGTTAATGGTCACCATGGTGATGTCAGGGGTCACCATGGTAATTTTATGTTAGTGGTCACCATGGTGATGTTATTGGTTACCATGGTGATGTTAATGGTCAACATGGTGATGTTAATGGTCACCATGGTGATGTTAATGGTCACCTTGGTGATGTTAATGGTCTTCATAATTCATATTTACATTCTCATAGTGATGGTTGCCATAGAAATAGTTGTAACAGTGGTAGTAGCTAGTGACGACCATGGTGTTTGTATTTATTAGCATATACATGTATCCTGTTTCATATAGCTTATGACATTACATTTTAATGCTAAAAAAAAACGTTACCTTACAGGAGAAAGCACAAACCAGACAATGTGTACCTGACACCACCTCAAGTAGCCGTTCAGAAAGTCCTCCAGTTGTTGTACAACATTTTGCTCCTCTAACTCCACCAAGCAGCACAAAAAAGGCTCAACCAACATGATTCAGGGTTCTGCTTCAATAATATACAGCGGTTTCAAGGCAGTCATGTCGTAGGATTAAACGACAGAAACCTTTTTTTGGAAATGCAACCTTTTTTCATGCATTCTTTCCCACCAAATGACTGCAGTGAAACTCCTCCATTTTGAGAACTTGTATTTTTTCTAAACAGGATTTTATGAAATTTTTCTCTTTAAATTTTTATACAGTTTGAATGCAACTTTTAATCAAATTCTCCATTAACAAATGGTTTTGACTTATGAATGAGTAAGAGTGGAATTGTATTTTTTTAAGATAATATTTTAGAAGGAAGTGAAAAAATGAAGTGTTTTTATAATGATACAAGAAAACATAGCGATACAGCTCTTTCAAAAAAGGTTTGTGGAAGTTAAAAAAGCCCAACATGCATGTGGGTGGTGTGAATGCAGTCAGTGAAGGGCCACAAAAATGTGGAATTTTCCCACGTTTTTCTTGTCAATTTTCTTCTGTGTTGTTCCACGATACATTAGTATCTAACAAAACAATTTCACAAACCATTTTTGGAATAGCTGTATTATGCAGACAGAGTAACTTTTGGGTTATATCTCACCTAAGGCAGCCTTGAACATCTGTGCACCTGCAAATGTTACTATGCTTATACTTGTGACATTAAAGGAGATGAGGCTTTGGCCATGCAGCAACAAGATAAGCCAGCTTGAGTTTTATTTTGCTTATTTGCATTCTTATAGCTCACTAGGTTGCAATTCCATTTTATGAGTTTGTTCAGGTGACCAAGACACAGTGGTTCCAAGTCGAGTTTGGACTTGATAAAGTACAGTAAATGTAAGTCCAGCCTTGGCTTGGAGCCATTGGTTTGATTCCACTCCGCAAATTTGGAAAAGGTCTATTTGTTGTAAGTCAAGAGCAACATAATTATGTTGTTTTCTGAACAGAGCCTCGGCTATAAAGCAAAGCTTCTAGTCTAAGAGTGCTGCTGCTAGGTACATCTCTTTTGTTTCTTATCCCAAGTTGGATCATCCCATCCTCGGGAACCCAGGGGTAATATTCTGCGCTCTTTTCTCAATACCAGAAGAAATTCTGGTAGTGAAAAAACAAGCGACAATTTTACCCCTGGGTTCCTGAGAATGGGATCATGCTACTTGCTCTTAAGACATTTCTAATGCAAAAGAAGGCTTTCACAGTACAGCACTTTTCAGGTTTCTGCGACCAAGACAGCGTTTTTTTTTTCTGCTTAGGACACCATCTAACTTCAAATGCCCTGAATTAGTATTTGTGGTTAAAGCCAAACACTTAAACGTCTGGAATTTATTGAGGTCACAGAAACATGACAAGGGCTTCATTGAAAATTATTTTAAAAATCATTATGACGTACCAACAAATGAGAAATGCTTTACGTTAAAGCTTAAATATGTGTGTCCAAGATTTGAATTGGACTTGAATATGTGTAAGTCTGTTTGACAGAAATCTCATTTTGCCTTTTTGCCATGCCATTTTAAACCTTAAAAGGTTACTTGGTTTTAGATTTCTCATGAAAATTCCCTACTCTGAATTGCTAAGGCTTGTAAAGACATTTCCATACATTTAATCGACAATACGAATCATACAATCTCTATTATTAGCCACTCGACTATCCATTTATCATTGAAATTATTACGACTATATGTTTTGAAAATCAAGTGGTTATATAATGTTAATTTATACTATTTAGGAATTAAGTATATTTTTATGGAATTTATTAAAGATCCACGTTTTTCTAAATAAGTTTGCCTGTGGAGTCGTGCATCGTGGACAGTTTCCAAAACACATCCCACATGGTAAGGTTGACCATGGTTATTTACTCAGCAGAACAAGCGATATACCAGGTCTTCTGGCAATGACGAGGGGTTTATCTGATTTTCTACATGCCGACTAGCCTCTCCTTTATGAGTTTCCTATATATTCCTCCTGGGATAGCAGTGTCGGGTAGAAATCTCCAGCATAACCATAATTGCTTTAGCGCCGAGGACAATTTTTGACGCAATTTTTCACTCTGCAACACGTTGCAAGTTTTTGATCTGGCTTCAAAAACTTGCAACAARAGATGAAGAATTTTCAGCAAATCGATGTGTGTAACATGTCCATCGCCGATTTGACGCGCAACAAAATGGCGCCGACTGTAGAAGCAGTAAGTTAAAGCAACTGCAACAATAAGCCTGAAGCGAGATGACGTTTTACCCCCGACTCTATACCATAATAGTTTTAAAAATTCGTTCATATTAAAATTTTTGATTCCTTAGAGAATGCATCGAACAATAGTCATAATTAAAGAACAAAAGCAATGTGAAAAGGATTATGGTCTAGAGACGGGGGTAAAACGTCATCTCGCTTCAGGCCTATTGTCTAAACCTAGTGAAACAGATAAGATAAAACTTTTGTAGTTGATAAAAAATGATAAGAGCAAGAAAAGAAGAACAAAGATAGCCGTGAGTGAGTTGGCAGCACGTGGACTAAATACTAAAGTAAATGTTGCGCGAAAASTTGTTCCCGTATAACCACAGGTAGCCCAAGCTTGGTTTCTGTGGTGTCCTGTTATAAGGAAATGTATGGGGAATCATCAAAAATTTCAATAAAATCATCAAAACGTGAAATAAAGCCTTGAAATTTTACCCGATCATTGAGAAATAGCACTTCTTTCGCTCTGCGTGGTTATTTTTTGAATTTAGCCCGTTTTAAGGATTTTTTTCCCCACCAATAAGAAATAAGAGAAGGTTGGAAACTCGGGATCCAAAAGCGAGCCATCACGAGTCTTTGAAACCTCGTACGTCTTCGAATTTTCTTTCCAGCGCCAAATTTTAGTCATGACCCTTCTCTCACATCCCTATAGAACCGAGAAAGTCGCATTAGAGATTAGTCTTCGCGTCTTTAAGCCATGAAATTTGCCTGTATTCACATACTACCTCGTTTGTTCTGACCCGTACTTGGAGCTCACTGTACACCAGTTCAACGGATTTCTTTCGGCAACCGACCCGAGGTCACGCCGGAAGTCTTCGTATCGTAAATGCGGATTCGATTTGGATATCGTATTTCTTCGAAATTATAAGTTAAATACTTTTGTATCTTAGGCTGTTAAAAAATACACTCACCATAATTTTCGAAATCATAAGTTAAATACTTTTGTATCTTAGGCCGTTAAAAAATACACTCACCATAATTTCGAAGAAATGCGATATCCAAATCGAATCCGCATTTACGATACGAAGACTTCCGGCGTGACCTCGGGTCGGTTGCCGAAAGAAATCCGTTGAACTGGTGTACAGTGAGCTCCAAGTACGGGTCAGAACAAGCGAGGTAGTATGTGAATACAGGCAAATTTCATGGCTTAAAGACGCGAAGACTAATCTCTAATGCGACTTTCTCGGTTCTATAGGGATGTGAGAGAAGGGTCATGACTAAAATTTGGCGCTGGAAAGAAAATTCGAAGACGTACGAGGTTTCAAAGACTCGTGATGGCTCGCTTTTGGATCCCGAGTTTCCAACCTTCTCTTATTTCTTATTGGTGGGGRAAAAAATCCTTAAAACGGGCTAAATTCAAAAAATAACCACGCAGAGCGAAAGAAGTGCTATTTCTCAATGATCGGGTAAAATTTCAAGGCTTTATTTCACGTTTTGATGATTTTATTGAAATTTTTGATGATTCCCCATACATTTCCTTATAACAGGACACCACAGAAACCAAGCTTGGGCTACCTGTGGTGTAACATGTCGAAAAAAATCAACACAAAAATGGCGCAATAGCTTTGCACGAAAATTCGGTGTTGAAAGTTGTTCCGTGTAACACCACCTTAAGGCTCGTCCAATTTTGAAAACTTTCAAAACATCACTCGTACCTATAAATTCCGAATTGTACTCGAGATCGTGGGGTTTCCTATACAAATTTATCCGCTGGATAAAATTTATACATTGAATAGTGCTATTCAACTTTAGTACAAACAGGCCCAGAAAGTTAACATTCAGGAATCATTCTGGTAATATATATCTATATTTATTTATTTATTGATACATTTTCAACTAAAACATACTTTGTCAACCATAAAACTTTGGTAACATACACATCTTGGAACCATAAATAAAGAGCAAATCACTTAATATATATGTACATTGTAAAACTTGTCATGACCACTGTTTCCCTGCGTGTGGCATCATTTATTACTCTCACTGTTTATTGTTAGTATCTTCAGCTTCTTGTGCATTAGTCTCATAAATCTCCAAAGGAGTGTTAGTATCAGAGGTCAGGTCTAACAGCCTTTAGGCTAGTCTCTAGGTGTAACAACAATCTTCTGTAGGATTTCCTTAGCAAAAGTCTGCAGGGCCACATCCTTGGGGCTTGCCCTAGCTTGTAACACCAATCTTTTGTAGGATTTCCTTAGCAAGAGTCTGCAGGGCCACATCCTTGGGGTTTGCCCCTAGCTTGTAACACCAATCTTCTGTAGGATTTCCTTAGCAAGAGTCTGCAGGGCCGCAGCCTTGGGGGCTGCCTCTAGTTTACTAAACACATCAATCAGTGGCTGTCCATGAGCGAGTATGGACCTGGAGTGAATGGCATTAGATGAGACCATCCTCTTGATGATTCTCAACAGCTGCTTTTTTTGATTTTCATCAGCTATTTGCAAAGCCGTGGCAAAATGTTGAACATTAACTTCACTCATGGCGTCTGCGTAAAGCCCGCCAAATAATTCAGCCATAAGGTAAAGATTCTTAAGCGCTTTTTCTTGTAACTTATCATCTTGGTTCCCTAGTAAACTGATTAACATCCCCGTCACGTCTGCGAGAGGTTTAGTGTCTATAAGCAGTGCTTCAGCTGCTTGTGTCGCTTCTCCTTTAGTCTTTTCAAGAAGGGCATGCCGCACCTCTTTGGAAACATATTTCAGAATGATACTAAGTATATCCAGCAAAGGCATGAGCATTGCCGATACATCTTCACTATCAAAATTCTCGTCCGTGTCCAAAGTTGTGGTCACCTCAATGAACAGAGTCTTGACACAATCAACCAATCCTTGATGATAGAGAATCGCCATGTCAACGTCTTTGGTCATCAACACGTGACTCAACAGATTGACAATAGCTGTAGTCATGGTGATGTTACCAGCATTAGTCTGGGAGTTGGTGATGTGGAGTAGGGACAGCACGAGGTCCTGGTCCAGGAAGTCCTGGAGAATGTCTGGACAATGGTCTTGTAGTGAGGACAGCAGCTTGAGGCCATAGGCGGGTAAAGGGTTTTGGTCTTGTAGAATAGTGTGGTACTGAGGTAGGAGATTATTCCTTATGACCTGGAAAAACAACCACACAATTATAAGCATAATTATATTGAAGACTGATGGGAAAGACAGTTGGGGTGGGGAGGGTGAGGAGGGAGAGTGACAAGGGGAAGTGGGAATGCGTCGCAGGTGAATGTATAAATACAATACGATTGCCCTATATCACTATGACGTCACTGCTTGTTTATGTCGGGGATAGAATCGCCAAATCCAATAGAAAATTCAACAAAATTTGCTCCTAGCGAAACAGTTTAATCTAAAATGGCCTGGTTTTCAGATATAATATGTGTTAATATGTACTAAAAAATATTCTGAGCGTTTGCTAGCTATTCTACTTCTCTTCGTGGATTGATACGGTTTTAGAACAATTGTCGGTGAATTTGCGTTGATTTGACCCCCTCCGACTACCATCATCCTTTGCGTTTAAACAATAGTTTGTTTTGATGTGACGTCATAGTGAAATAGGGCAATTACATACATGATAATTGTAGAGAGGCAGGGCCGTAGCCAACAGCACGGTTAGTCCGGTTTTAACCTGCACTACCCGCATTCGTTGTTCTACCTCTTCAGTTTTTGTTTTTACGTCGGACCAGCTAAAATGTGTCATTTAAAAACATCATGGAACAGACACCGATAGTTAAAAATCGTATACACCTATTTCAAAAAACGTTGTCGGTCTGAGATCTGAGATCTGAGACCGAAAGGAATCGTGGGTTGTATGTAGGCTGTAAATTGTTTGTGATTTTAATAAGTAGTTCGCAAAAAGTTACTAGGCAGATTAAGATTCCCGTTTTTCCTTCCCGCAAACGGCAAACGTGACCACGTTTTCATCGTTTCCATACATTTCACTTTACCATTTGCAAACCTTCTCGACAAAGACAAGTATTCTTTTGTTTATCTACTACTTGGAGATTTTTGCGATTCCTTTTCACTAATTTTAAAGAATATTTTAATGGTCAACTGACGTGTCACGTTTGCCGTAAACGAGAATCTTAAACTCTCTAATATCTTGATATACTAATTTTGAGCGATGACCTGCGCTGGCAAACTATCTGGGTAAGTGTATATTGAATTTTGAACGAGAAAACACTCAGTCCCCCAGAAGTCCAATCGGTCTCATATTTCTGATTTCAGATATCCAACCAACAAAATTATTTGAAATAGGTGTGTATATCTGTCTTACAATTAATGCGTTCTGTAGGTACGTTAAGAAAAAATCGATAACTACTAAAATATCTTATGAATTCGAGTTTGTTGGTCGGACATTCTGTGTTCCATTGGGAAAACTAGCCATTGTTTGGGTGAATACTCAAGCCTGATAGCCGGGATCGGTGTATTCCCCACTCACCTCATTGAGTTTGTTTGTACTGGCAACAACACTCTCTGCATTGCTGGCAGAGTTGTACACATTCTGATTATCCAAATACAGCGAGGCTACTTCAGCAAACAGCCTAAAAGACAGCGCTCTTGTGTTACCGTTGGCACTGCTCACCAACGCCACCAATATTGGTAAAATATTCACCGATACGGAACTGGCAAACTCCAGGAGAAGAGGTGGATGTTGCGTAATGCATTCTACTATAGAAAGAACCACATATGTGAGGTCTTCCTCTGCACTTGGACCAGCAGCTGTCCCAAGGCTTGTGTTACCACAGTCGATGGACATAACATGAGTAAGAAGAAGTCCAATGTCAACTAAAAAGCCATCGGTGACAATAAGAGACCTGAATGCATGGCTTGTTATCAGATGTAAGATGACGGGTAGGTTTGGTAGATGTAAGCGCAGCTGTTTTGTGTGAGCTGCTGACGGGTGTCGCCGGCCCTCCACGGAATGTAGCGAGGACAGGACGTTTTCCAGGATGTTTAGCGCCCCTTCCACTAAACATTCTACACATTTTTGAAGACAATGCATGAGATACTGAAGTGTCTCAGGCACTTCACCTTTCATCGGAGTTCCCCGTTTTTGATCTTTTTCGATGTGCATGACAAGTCGAGCTTGGCAGCACATTAATAAAGCTTCTTGATTGCACTGTACTAGTGATACAATTAGCAGGAATGCCTTGCCTCGTATAACAGCAGAATGGCTGTCAAAAATACGCATCACTTTACTGATGATATCTTTCTCTTGGATAAGTCGCTTGGACTGAGGTTTCGATGAAATCAAGCTTGCAAACATAGTCACAAGAGCTTGTTGTACTTGTGGTATTCCACTAGATAAGGCATCTTGTACGGCTTTCGAGCCTGCTTTTTCCACTACGTACTGAAAGACACCAACTGAATGACAAGAAAGGCGACACAGGGCAGAAATAGCAGTTACTTTCTGGTTATCGACGGTGCAGTGAGTGAACAGCTTCCATAATAGCTGAAACATAATACAAATGATTTATTACGATATTACTGTATGAATGAATGAATGAATGAATGAATGAATCTTTATTAAGGCAAAATCAACGACCGTGAAATCGTTACAAAAATGTAAAATATAAATAGAATATAAATATAGCTGTACAAATATCATAAAACACTTTGATTGAAAAGACACCTATTTATGAAGAAATCTTTAAATCTCTCAGTCTTAACATTAGGCATGATAAAGTTATGCCTTCGATCTCTTAAAGGACGGTTTCTGATAGGTGGTAGCATGTCCCTTAGAACGTGTTTTTCGTTTGTACTGATTTCTTTGAACAACTTGTTATCATGTTGACATTTAAGTTCTGAGATGGTAATCTTTCTGTTGGTGCATCTAAATTTAGCTGCTCGTCTGAAAAACCTGTCAATTCGTTCATGATCTTTATAATGTGACACTGCCCCCCAGACTTGTATTCCGTATGTAAAAAGTAATATAATCAGTGAATCAAATAGTTGTGATAGTTGCGCATCTTGGTAATTGTCTAATTACAGTTGTCACATATCTTACCTGTGAAGTATCATTGGATGCGAACCTTGCACAGTGCCTTCCATGGGTAGATGCAACATTATCTATAGTCTTTGCTGCGAAGTGCTGCACGTAGATGTCTTCTCCGTCATGCAAGCATCTTGTTATGATAACAAAAGTAATGGCTGAAAAGAGACAAGAAAATTTTGATTCTAAATAAAATATACAGGTTTCAGGAGCGTTTCTATAATTGTTCCTTGAATCTATCTTTACAACACAATGTGCTGTATGATCGTTTGGTAGACAAAAGAATGTGCATAGAAGTATGTACATGTAAATACATTTAATGTGGTCGTATTTTTGCATGTTGCAATGTAACTGGAATTTAGAAGTTGATTTTGAGAGAGGAAAACTGAAAGATGGCTGAAAATCCTATTGCCACAGATTCCTAAACAAGGCACAGAGAGCTGAGGTTTGATAGATATTGTAGGAAAGGTGGGGTCAAGAGGTGCATGGAGTTAAAGGGTTACCATATTATGTCTCAATGTTTCAATTGGCCCTTCTCGAAAGTATCATGGATGTGCAGAGGTTAACATAAAAAAAACCCAGAAGAAATCACACTTTTTCTTTGGGAATTCGTGGGATTTGTTTTGTATTTCCATGTTAGCCTCGCATTCAAGACAATTTTAAGAAGGGTGTATTCTGTGATATTACAGTGGGGGAGCACTAATAATCCCATCAATCCAACCCTCTGAGCTCTAGCCATTCTGAGGTAAGAATGTTGGGTAGAGAATGCCTGGTGATATTGGATACATACTACAAAAATTGTATTTGTATTAAATTTGATGACATTGTGTAGAACTTTCATACTCCCTTCTCCCCCCCCCCCCCCCCCCCCCCCCCCCCAATGAAGGATTTTTTCAGACCTCATCCCCAGAAATTTTAATTTTCTTCCATACAAACTGTAATTTTGTTATTTCTCTGACCCCACCACTCAGAATTTCCAAGTAATTCCTCTGTGGGGGTGGGGGGAATGGATAATTTCTGTAGCTACACATTCATAATTTCATGCATACGTATTTACCTGGAACATCCCATTTTGCAATTTGTCTGTTTTCAGTCTCTTCTTGTGTCGACGCATAAAACAGAAACTCCCCCAGCGCAGGGACCAGATGCTGCTTGAGCTGGGTGTTACGGAAATTATCTCTGATGACTTCTGTCAAGACTGTGAATACCTCTGTCATGTTGAAATCCTCTGAGATCAAGGTAGCACAACCAGCAAGCAAGCCGAGACAATAGCCTTGACATAAGCAAACAAATAAATATTCATATRTAATATTAAAGTATATGGCTATGGTAATGCAGTGTGTAAAAAATAAATAAATAAATAAAATAAAAAATAAAAAAAAGCAAACAAATAAATATTCATATATAATATTAAAGTATATGGCTATGGTAAAGCAGTGTGTAGTGCTGTTTGCACTAAAGTATGGTGTGGATCCTAAACATCACTATTCCAGACATTTGACATAACTGACTCAACGTTACTGGTCCAAATGACCGGCAAGGAAAAGATTGGACTGAATAGCCCCAATTCTGGCTGGACATTGTCTGATGTATGACAATTGTCCAATATTTTTTTTGCCCTGTCATAAAAAGTCCACTTTGTATAATATGCTGCACACTCTTACAGATGTAACTAGAGTCCTTGCACATGAGGACAGCAAAACCAGGACAGTGACACTAGGATGAAGATGCAAGCACATTTTTGGGTAGCATGGGTGGCGTTCGCGGCTAACGTGCCGTCTTTCACCGCTGTGAGTCCAACGGGTTAGGGTCGCTGGTTTGAGCCCTGCAGTCGCCACATGTGAATTGAGTTTGTTTGATGTGCTGTTATCTCCCTTGCCACGAGGGTTTTCTCCGGGTTCTCTGGTTTCCTCCCTCCGTAAAAAATCAACATGTGAGTTGAGTGTTGTATGTTGTAATATAGAATGTAGTGGTAGTGCGTGTGGAGGGAACCTCACGGAAGAGCCCCGTACGGGGAGCGGTGGTTGTAAAATATTATTTTATTTTTAAATTTTTTTAATGAGCGTGCCACTTTCCTTGCCATTGCTATTCCCTTTAGAGCATGAAAAAGCACCATCTGACATTCTAAAGAGGATGGCAACATCCTAAAGGACAATGACGCATGCATGAAAAACCATTTAGATATGTCCTTGCATCATGGTTTGGCATTGCTGTCTCGATGCTTGTCGATGCCTAATGCAAAGAGGAGTACACTAAGTAAATTCAATTATCATAAGCTCTTTGAATTCTTACCAATTCTTGCTTTGAGATCAACAGAAAATCCATTCTTGACTTGATATAACATGGAAGATACCAAATTAGACTCAAAAATTATATTAGCAATATCCCCATGGCGACATAACATTGCAAGATATGCYGCAGTATGGAGCTTACTGCGCTGAACAAATGCAGCATTGCCACTAGTTTTTTGATTTGGTGAGAATAAGTTGTCTATTGACTTCAAGTGTTCTGAGACATCTTCATCAGATAGATGAAGGACTTCTTCTGGCTTGAGGGCCTGACAGCACAAGGCCTTTGGATCAAACCTTGGCATTGACATCTTCTTGATTTTAATATTATCTATAATAGGAGTAACGACAAAATCGGAGGAATGAAAAATAAGATCCGAAATCTGTGGAGCAGGAGCATTATCTTCATCATTAGCAATTGCAGTTGATGTTCCTATCCCGTCCTTGTCATTGTTACTTGCAACTGTGCTTTCCTTTTGGCCACTATTTTTAATCTTCTTGTTCAAAACTACAGTGTGTTGTCTCTCAATGGAAATAGAAGCATTGTTTTTAAGAACCATAGCTTTGGATTGATTATTTGTTTGAATATTTGGGATAGATTGCTTCCCATTTCTAAGCTCTTCGGAGTTCTCGCTAAGATGGAATTGTCCTGGTTTTCTTACATTCTTTTCATCCGAACTAACTAGTTTTGATCTGTTGACTTCATGAGGCTTGCTTTTAAAGGTGTAAGTCCCTTGATTGACCCCTCTTGTATCTGATTCAGTCTCAAATAAACCATTTTCTTTACTAGTTGGCCTATTTTCTTCAATAACATCTTCAAATGCAGCTTCAGTAATAATGTCCTGAGCATTTTCATTATATTGCTCTGACACCAGCCCCTTTCTGTTGTCTTCTGTTTCAGCACATAAAAGGTAATCTAACGAGTTGTCCCAAAATGGATGCTTAATCAGGTCAGACCAATTAAGTCTCTGGGGAGGATCCTTAATGAGAAGCCTATTAATAAGACTTGTAAGATTACTAGAACCACTAATTATTTCCCCATCAATGACTTGATTTATGTCTGGACAACAATCTCCAAGAATTTTCTCTGCAAGCTCTTCTAATGTGTCTGCAGCAAAAGGCTGTTTGCCAGTGAACAGCTCAAATAATAGACACCCAAACGACCATAAATCACTAGCTTTGCTTGGTGGGGACCCCATGAGGACTTCAGGAGCCATGTAGTAAGGAGACGGTTTAGGAAGTCTTTTATCACTGCTTATCTGGGTATCATCATCTTCCAGATCAAAAATATCATCTTCACCTTCAACACATGACAGTGCAAAATCACTTAACTTTATATGCCCAGGTCCGTCCAACAATATCTTAGACGGTTTCAAATCACAGTATAAGACTCCAAGAGAATGAAGATAAAATAAGCCCTCGAGCATTTCTCTTCCAAACTGTTTTACCGTTTCTTCGGGCAAGTTTGTGTCTTGTGATATTATCGCGTCTAAACTATATCCAGTGCAAAGCTCCACAACCATCCATATGTGGTTAGTAGTTTCATACCATTCGTGGAACTTTACGATTTTAGGATGCTCTAAGTCATGAGTAATACGTACGGCATTTCTCAGCTCTAACCGTTTGGATTTGTCTACACAGTGAATGGCTACAAACTCTACAGTGCCTTTCTTCCTTCCTTTGTAAACAACTGAATAATCGCCTCGGCCAATCTCATCGTAAAGGACGTAGTTTTCCATTAGTAGATTCTTGGTCTCTTAGTTTGAACTCAGTAAAAAATTAAGAGCCATATTTTTCGTTAAAATTTATATTAAAATGTCAAACTTCGTAACGACAACAAACTGACCGTCATCTTTCTTACCATCTACAGGAACTATGGGTAATGTAATTACTGTCTAGGGAGGGCTGAGTATCCAAATGTATTAGGAAACATTTTGGCCAAAAAATAAAGAAAGAAAATGAATCTATGACCTAAAAAGAATATTTCTTATATTAAAGGAGAAATGTTTTGGAAATGATTAATTTTTATACCTAAATTTTTAATGAATTATTTTGTAAGAGATAGTTTTAGATGAGTACCAAAATGCTCAACTCTACYCACCCCACCCAAGGGGAATTCTTGTCCCTTTGTTTCCAGTCTCTTTCTTCTCGTATAATTTGAAAATGGCTGACAAGATAGACACCAAAAGACTAGAAGACCACAAGAGAAATGTAAAAATATTTTATAACATCATATTTCACATCCTAACTGCTAACTTAATTGTTTCACATCATGATTTGCTTTGCTTTTCGTTTATAGGCTATTCTGGAGTTGGAGAATCGCCTATCAATATGGTAATATATAAAGACAACAAAGTATACCTCACACATCGCGTTAGATGAAAATTTGTACAATTTAATTGGAAAAAGCCATAATAGTATCTGTCATATAAAATAACTGTGCTATTTTTCTATCTTCTGTATGTTTAGTTTTTGCTGTGTAGTTTTGCTTTTAAGAATGATGAGCTTAGAAAAATGAGGAAATGAGGTCTGATCATGATGAAGTGTGCATTCAACTCCCCCCCCCCCCCTCCCAACACTTTTCCATTCTCCATATTTGGCTTTCACTGATTCAGACTTACTTTCGAGGACTCCCCCCACCCCTCCCATCTACATTCATCATTTTATTTGCCCTCCATATACGCGGGGGACAGACAGTATATATACTGTTATAGTACACGTACACTGGTACTTTTAAAATTGCAGGAGAGGATTCCATAATGACTATCAATCACTTCAAGAGACGCTGAATTTTTTACCACAAAAGATAAGTCATGAGATTATGGTAAGTGGATGACTTACAGCTTTGAAGTTAAACACTGATTTATCTTCTTTCTTATTTCTTTCCCTGCCTCTCCTTTCCCTTTCTCTCTTCTCCCTTGCATCCTTTTTCAGCCTATACTCCCTCCCCTTTTTGTTCTTTCCTTTCCACCTGCCTTCTTGTATGCATGTGTCTTTCACATTGACTGTATGCTCATTTATCCAATTCCTTCGTTAAATCAACCCACCCATCCATCCATCCAT